TAGGGTTTAGGAGTTTAGGGTCTTAGGAATTCAGTGTTTAGGGTTTAGGAGCAGTTTAGGAGTTTAGGGCTGAGGAGTTTAGGAGTTTAGGGTTCAGGGAAAAGGAGCTTAGGAGTTTAGGGCTTAGGGGACTCAGAGTCCCTGTTCCGAAGCTCCCCCGATCGATCTGCTTATTCTTCTTCTTTGGGTTTAGGGTTTAGGGTTTAGGGTTTAGGGTTTAGGGTTTAGGGTTGTCCTGCGTGGAGGACAACCCTAACAAACCCAAAACCCGAAAACCCTAAAGCTCGCACTCCGAACCCTAAACCCTAAACCCGAAGCCCTATACCCTAAACCTTTGACCCTGAACCCTAAACCCTAAGCGCCCTAAACTTCTAAATCCTAAACCCTAGACCCTGAACTCCTAGACCTTAAACCCTAGACCCTAAACCATAAACCCTGGACCCTAAACCCTAAACTCCTGGACCCTAAACTCCTAGACCCTAAACCTTCGACCCCAAATCCCAAAGATCCCGCAAAGCTCCTCGATGACGCCCTCGCAGATCGCCCCGTGCCTGGGCTCTTCTGAAGGGCGCTTCGCTTAGGGGTTCCTCGGAGGGCTCCTCAGAGGGTCTAGGGTTTAGGGTTTACTGTTTAGGGTTCAGGGTTTAGGGTTAGGGTCTAGGGTTTAGGGTTTAGGGTTGGGGTCTAGGAGTTTAGGGTTTAGGGGTTTAGGGTTTTGGGGATTATTTTTTAAGTTCCCACGATAGAGAACTATAGTAAACAATACGGTTTCCTCAGGATGGTATCTGAAAGTCCCTGAACCCCAAACTCGCAACCCTGTACACTTAACCCTTAACCCCAGACCCTGAACCCTAAGCCCTAAACCGTAAACCCTAAAACCATATAAACCCTAAACGCTAAGTAAACCCTGACCCTTTACCCCGTCCCGAAACCCCGAACCCGAAACCGCACGCCCCAAACTCCAAGCCCAAAATCCTTAACACCTAAGTCCCCTAAGTCCCCTAAGCCCCCTAAACCCCCAAGCCCCTGAAACCCTAGGCTATAGGGTTTAGGGTATAGAGGTTTAGAGTATAGGATTTAGTGTTTAGGGTTTAGGAAATATAAAAACCCTAAAACCCCCAAAACCCCCAAACCCCTGAAACCCTAAACCGAAAACCCTGGAAACCCCCCAAGGGCTTAGGATTTATAAAACTCTTCAAGGCCCTAAAACCCTTAAAAGCCCTAAAACACTAGAAACCCCAAAAAAAAACTCTAGAAACCCTAGAAACCCCAAAAAAAAAAAAAAGAGCCCAGGTGCCCAAGCACCGGGTTCCCGGCGGCGCAGCGCGCCCCCGTCAGCCGCTCGATCTCGTCGCTGCACTCCATGGCCTGGCCGTCCTCGGCTCTTTTTATGGGGTTTAGGGTCTAGGGTTGAGGGTTGAGGGTTTAGGGTTTAGGGTTTAGGGTTTAGGGTTGAGGGTTTAGGGTTGAGGTTTTAGGGCTTATAGGGCTTATAGGGCTTATAGGGTTTAGGGTTTACGGTTT